AATTTGTGCCTTCTGACCAGCATCACCCAAAGACCCTTTCCCCCTACCTCTGCCAACCGAAAATCTGATCTCTGTTTCTATGAGTCTGAGTTTTTTAGATTCTACATATAAGTGAGATCATACAGTATTTATCTTTTTCTTATTCTTTTAGCATAATTCCCTCAAGGTCCATCCACGTTGTCACAAATGGTAGAATTTCCTTTTTTTTAATAACTGAATTAAATATATAACATATCTTAAATGGATATAACATGATACATATATAATATTGTATATGTATATAACATATATCTTACATCTCCTTTATACATGTATCTATTGATGGCCAGTTAGGTTGTTTCCATGTCTTGGCTATTACAAATATGGCTGCAATGATCATGGAGATAGAGATATCTCTTTGTGATTTTTTCCCTCCAGATATGCTCCTAAATGTGGAATTGTTGGATCACATGGTAGTTCTATTTTTAATTTTTTGAGGAACTACCATCCTTTTTCCACAGTGGTTGCACCAATTTACATTCCCACCAACAGTACACAAGGTTTCCCTTTTCTCCACATCCTTACCACCGATGTTATTTCTTGTCTTTTTTATTTTTAATTTTTTTTATTGAGGTATAGTTGATGAACAATATAAGTTTCAGGTGTACAACATAGTAGTTCATAATTTTTATATTTCTTGCCTTTTCATGATAGTCACTCTAGCAGATGTGAGATGACATCTCAACTGTGGTTTTGATTTGCATTTCCATAAAAATTAATGATGTTAAGCACCATTTCATGTGCTTGTTGGCCATTTGAATATCTCCTTTGGAAAACTGTCTATTCAGGTCCTTTGCTCATTTTAAAATTGGATTGTGTGGGGGTTTTGCTATTGAGTTGCATGAGATTTTGGATAGTAACCTCTTATTTTGGATAGTAACCTTTTAGCAGATGTGTAGCCCGCAAACACTTCCTCCCATTCCTAAGTGGCCTTGTCCTTTTGCTGTTCATCGCTCCTTCTGTGCAGAAGCTCTTTTGTCTGATGTATACACTGTGCCGTGCGCGCACAGCCAGTCAGTCATGTCCTACATGACTGTGTAGGACACAGTAGGCGGCCCACTGACTGTGACCCGCCAGGCTTCTCTGTCCCGGGAATGAATACTGGACTGGACTGCCTTTTCCTACTCCGGGGGATCTTCCAAAGCAGAGATCGAACCTGAGTCTTTTACATCTCTTACATCTGCATTGGCAAGCAGGTTCTTTATCACCAATGCCACCTGGGAAGCACAAATTATACTATTCATACTTGGTTTTTTTTTCGTTATGTTGCTTGTGCTTTAGGTATCATAAAGCTCCATTTCAGACATACTGAATTTGAGATGCCTATGTGACATCCAAGTAAAGTCATCTAATAAACTATTGGGTATAGTAGTCCTTGCACAAGTTATTTACACTCTCTGGCCTCAGTTTCCTCATCTTTAAAGGGGTGATATTATCTATCTTTCAGGGTAAATATTAGTAAGATTCTTACACAGTACACTGCTCATAATAAGAGCAAACTAATGAAGCAATACCTATAATATGAAAGAAACATGATCTTTACCACACAAGTTAGAGTTTGATTATATATTTCCTGTAAGAGCTAGGAGTTCCATTTATTTATGCAGCCTCCATAATCAGACAGTAAATTCCGTGATAATAGGAGCCCTTCTCTTTCCTCCGTCCCCATAGTGCCTCACCAGAGTGGGTACCTAATAACTTAATGCTAGGAGAAACTGGCAACTGTCAGAGTGGATAGGGGCCCAAGTGTGGAGGGCCCCATATTCCTTCCGTAGTCTCTACCCCAGTTGGTGGTACCACCGTTCTCTCAATCACCCATGCTAGGAACCTGGAGTCATCTTTAACTCCTCTTCACCAAGTTCCAAGTACTTCACCTCCCATGTATTTTTCAAAACCCTCTCCTCCACTGTATCCTCCCACTATCCTAGATCAGGCTTATTTACCCTGCATCTACTTTATGGCAAGAGTTCCAACTGGTTTCTTTGCCTCCAGTCCTGCCCCCAACACCCGGATCCATCTTCCAAACAGTCAGTAGTTAGATATCTACAACAGATCTGACCATGTCATTTCCCATTTTACCCTTTAAAAGCTTCCTGATGGACTTAAGCTGCTATCTCCAGCACACAAGGTCTCCCATGAACCAGCACTGCCTACATCCCAACCTCATATCCCATCTCTCTAGACTTCTCTCTTCCCATCCCAGCCTGAAATGTCATGCTCCAGCAAGAAAAGCCTGTTTGTGGTTCTACCATATCTACTTTATTGTATCTGGCTTTTCCAACTTCTCAGATTGCACCCTCTCCTGAACTACCTTTTATTTTTTATCTGGCTAACTCCTCATTATCCTTTAAAAATCAACTCAGTTGTCATTCCTTCCGAAAGCCTTTCCTGCCTCCTCCTCAACACCTCTTTGCCAAAGCAGGATTAAATGTCCCTCTTCTGTGGTCCCATAAAGCTCTGTGCATAGCATCATCAGTGATTTGATTATATTTCTTTTTGGTTTTTTTTTGCCTCACCACCCAGTGCGATCTTAGTTCCCCAGCCAGGGATCAGACCCGCGCCCCTGAATTGAAAGCATGGAGTCTTAACCACTGGACTGCCAGGGAAGTCTCTGGTTATATTTCTTTATATCTACTTAAAGGTCTGTCTCCCCACTCTGCACGTTTAAACTCCACAAGGGCAGGAGAGCATCTTATTCATCTTTTTTTCCCTTGGGCTTTTATTTATCTTTTTTATCCCTAGTGTCTAATATGTAGGAGGTTCTCAGTATTTGTTGATTGAATGAGTTAGTGTAAATTCTCACAAGAGTCCCACTCAAGCAAAGATAACAACAGATGCACACACATAAATATGCAAGGACCGGATCCAAGTCTGTGCTCTCTGGAACTCGGCTTACTTCATAATGCAGTAGTTACACATAGGTGGATGTTGTACCTACTTGAGATGAAGAGGACCTAAACGAAGCTCTTTCTAACCCAGGCTCTTCTCTCTGTCTCTAAGTGTATTTTTATGGTTCTAGCCTGAATTTGGTTTTAACCTCACTGTCAGAGCAACATTAGCTATAATTTAGTCCTTAACTGAAGAAACGAACAATATGACAAAAAGAAAAAATGCTATATTCTAGTGGTAGAAGACTATATAAGTGCAGGAACAACAAACACCCATGGAGATGCGCACTGAGAAAGAACTTTCAAGGTGAAAGATTGAGATTNAATTTGGTTTTAACCTCACTGTCAGAGCAACATTAGCTATAATTTAGTCCTTAACTGAAGAAACGAACAATATGACAAAAAGAAAAAATGCTATATTCTAGTGGTAGAAGACTATATAAGTGCAGGAACAACAAACACCCATGGAGATGCGCACTGAGAAAGAACTTTCAAGGTGAAAGATTGAGATTTGTACCTTATTGCAGTGTTTGCACGATCAGATTTATCCAGCATAGATTTATCCAACATAGTACCCATCCCCAACACATCCAAATAGCTTTTGAAATTATGTTTTTCCATTCATAAATTTGGGAGAGAGTGTTGTATACACACATACACACTTTTTCTTTTCAGAATTCTCACTTTTTTATTTTCTATTTCTATTTTAATCAACTGTGGTTGATTCGGGTTTCCCTGGTGGTTCAGTGGTAAAGAACCCTCCTGCCAATGCAGGAGACATTAGATCCCTGTGTCAAGAAGATCCCCTGGAGAAGGAAATGGCAACCCACTCCAGTTCTCTTGCCTGGGAAATCCCATGGACAGTGGCGTCTGGTAGGTTACACTCCATGGGGTTGCAAAATGTCAGGCATGGCTTAGCAATGAAAAAATACCAGCAACTGTAGTTGATTTACAATACTGTAGTTTCAGGTGTATGGCAAAGTGATTCAGTTATACATATATCCATCTTTTTCATATTCTTTTCCTATTTATGTTACTACAGAATATTGAGCAGATTTCTCTGTGCTATACTGTAGGTCCTTATTGGTTATCTATTTTAGAAATAGTCATGTATATATGTCAATCCCAAACTCCGAATTTATATTTCCCACCCCCATTTCCCCTTTGGTAACCATAAATTTGTTTTCTATGTCTGTGAGTCTGTTTCTGTTTTGTAAATAAATTCAGTTGTATCATTTTTTTAGGTTCTGCATATAGGCAATATCATATGAATTTGTCTTTGTCTGACTTACTTTACTCAGTATGATAATCTCCAGGTCCATCCATGTTGCTGCAAATGGCATTATTTCATTCTTTTTAATGGGTGAGTAATATTCCATTGTATATATGTACCACAACTTCTTCATCCATTCATCTGTCAATGGACATTTAGATTGCTTCCATCCCTTGGCTACTGTAAACAGTGTTACAATGAATACTGGGGTACATGTATCCTTTCAAACCAGTTTTCTCTGGACATAAGCCCAGGAGTGGGATTGCAGGGTCATATGGTAGCTCTATTTTTAGTTTTTTAAGGAATCTCCATACTGTTCTCCATAGTGACTGCACCAATTTACATTCCTACTAGCAGTGTAGGAGGGTTCCCTTTTCTCCACACCCTCTCCAGCATTTATTGCTTGTAAACTTTTTGATGATGGCCATTCTGACTGGTATGAGGTGATATCTCATTGTAGTTTTGATTTGCATTTCTCTAATAATTAATGATGTTGAGCATCTTTTCAAGTGCCTCTTGGCTGTCTGAACACACGCACACTTTTTATACTTGCAAAAATATTCTTCAATATTTATGGAGCACTAGACAACCATCAGAGAAGGCAATGGCAACCCACTCCAGTACTCTTGCCTGGAAAATCCCATGGACGGAGGAGCCTGGTAGGCTGCAGTCCATGGGGTCGCTAGGAGTCAGACACAACTGGGTGACTTCACTTTGACTTTTCACTTTCATGCATTGCAGAAGGCAATGGCAACCCACTCCAGTGTTCTTGCCTGGAGAATCCCAGGGACGGGGGAGTCTGGTGGGCTGCCGTCTGTGGGGTCACACAGAGCTGGACACGACTGAAGTGACTTAGCAGCAGCAGCAGCAGCAATAGACAACCATGGTGAAGGCTCCTACTTCTGATTCTTAAACTTATTACTTAGAAGTCCTCCATCTTGGCTCCATACAGGACCAGGTACATAATTTGCAGGGCCGACTGAAAAATGAAAATGCAGAGTCCCTTTTTCAAACATCATTAAGAATTTCAAGCCAGTAGAAATATCAGAGCATTAAAACAAGCCCAAGATCCCTCTGAGCACAGAGCCTGTATGAATTCATGGGCACACTCCCATGAAGCCCATCTCTGGTGCACGAGTCCCCAGATCAATCCCAAATACCTCTAACGTTCTAGGGGCCACTCTGATTTAATTCTCAGCCCTCCCTGCTTCGGAAGTGGTGCCTCTTCCAGCTCTTTATAGATAAGCTCTTAATTAGGCCCCAGTCTCTTTTGAAGAACTTACCTCAGAGGAGCAGTGTACAATTGTTATGCCTATTCTTTTACTGCGGACATACCGCATGTGGAAAAGCTTGTTGTCTCTCTCTCTCCCTCCATCCTCTCAGCTTGTCCAGAATCCATACACAGAGGACGCTGCAGATCTAACAGGAAACTTGGCAGTAGGGAGTCGCTATGGATCTGATAAGGAGCAGTTTCTAATGAGTCACGAGGTCTCCTCCTGCCAGGGTCCCTCCCCATGTGCCAGCAGCCAGCACCACGGGCATGCTGGGAAAAACTCCCACCCAAGTCTTTGCCCTGGGTCCAGAGTCTGTGCCCCATCTAGGTAACCGCTGAGAACGGAGGCTACACACAACAGAAGTTCCTTGTTTTGCAGGTACCGAGGGCCATAATCCCTAACTCTAAACACTGGCAGCTCCTGAGATCAAGCGGAAAGCAGGTCAGAGGGGGTGTCTGGGGAGAAGAATCCAGCACCAGATTCTGTGGCCTGCAGGTTACATGTTGTGTAAGAGGAGCAGGTAGGAGATCTTTTGGGGGTCAGAGATTCAAGCAATGAAGTGCAGACAGTGCAGGGGGTCAGGCCCAGGGGAGGTTTGGGGAGAGGCTCTGCAGAACGGGGGTCGAATGTCAAGGGGGGTCTAGAGCTGACTGCTAACCCCTCCCAAATTCAGGGGCCTGCAACAGCCACCCCAATACCTGAAGCCATGGCCAGTGGGGAAGATGAGCCGAGGAACTGCGCAGTGTGTGGGGACCGGGCTACAGGCTACCACTTCCATGCCCTGACTTGTGAGGGTTGCAAGGGTTTCTTCAGGTGAGAACCTCCTCCTCAACACAAACAACCTCCCAAACTGCCTGCCAGGCAGCCTTTAAGCCTCGGCACACGCCAGGGCTTGTCCGGCTACAGCACTCTTGCTTCTTGGAACCCAACCACCCTGTAGCTAGCACATGACCCACTGGCAACCTCCACACTGTATAAACACGTGGCAGAAGAACAGAGGGAGGCAGAGTGTGTGTCCTCTGGACACAGCCCCTTAGCCAAGTGTACTCACCACCTGCAAAGCACCAAACTAGCGTAGTCTATACTGACTGACTGGGTGCCCCATGGAAATGCTTCAGATGTATTGTGTCCTCCCTACCCCTAGGGACTTCTGGACACAGCTCAGATTAGCCCATGTCACCCTAGATTCTGGATTTTAGTTCCCCAACCAGGGATTGAACCCGGGCCCTTGGCAGTGAAAGCACCGAGTGCTAACCACTGGACCACCAGGGAATCCCTACCATAGATTCTTTGGGATTGTATCATTGTAGCCCCTCACACACCCACCTGCTTGCTGCCATCCCTGACCCTCACAACATCTGTCTCCATAGGAGAACAGTCAACAAAAGCACCAGCCTCACATGCCCCTTCGCTGGAAGCTGTGAGGTCAACAAGGCCCAGAGGCGCCACTGCCCAGCCTGCAGGTTGCAGAAGTGCTTGGATGCTGGCATGAAGAAGGACAGTGAGTTGGCCCCCTACCATCCCAAGAATCCACTGTGTCCCCCCCACCCACTGACTATGCTTTGCCCATGTTCCCACAACATTATTCTCCACGTGGAAGACAGAGGAAGCTTTCTGAAACAAGTCAGACAATGTCTCTACCCTGCTCAGATCTCCAAGGGCTCCTCACCTCTCTTCTTGTCCATGGTCTCACAGTCCCATGTCTGCCATACCACCTCTCAGATTTCACTTCTTCCTCTTTCCCTGGCTCAATCCATCCCAGCCACACTGATGCCAATGCCATTCTCAAACACACCAAAGCACCCTCTCCAGGGGACTTACGTAACTCATACTTCCACTTGCCATTCCCTCTTACCCGGAATGCTCTTTTCCTAGGTATTCTTATGGCCTGCTTTTTCTCCTCTCTCTCTCAAGTATAGTGCCTATGACTTACTAGCTACTCAATGATTGATTTAATTTTTTTCTCAGTGCCAAGTAATTAGGTTCAGCCCCCAAAAGACAATGTAACTTGTAATAAACTTAAACTAACAGGAATCAGCTTGCCTAAGGACACTCAGCTGAAAACTGGAGAGTCAGTATTCACCAGACCCTTATTTTCTTTGTGACATGACATTACTTTTCACCATGGAGCAGTAGAAAAGAAACTGTAGAAGTCAAAAAATCTTGAATCCAGTCTATATCACATCAGTAGTTGGTGACCTTGGACCTGTAACTAGAATGTCAGCCTGTCTGTGTTTCTGAAAAACATGGAAATCACACCTGCCCTCTCTACCCATGGGATTGTTTCATTCACTGAGACCTAACCTCAGAAGCTTTGAAATTATAAAGCTATTGCAACACAAGGTGATGTTTTTGGTATCACGAGCCCTCCCTCTTCAATATTCCCCCAGAAGCCAAACATCTCCTAATACTTTCCCCACTTTATTGTCCACCCTTCCTTTCCCTCCCACAATGCACTGTTTTCTGCCAGTGTCCCATGGGTCGGAGAAAATGTACAGGAATCCCCTACCACCTGGAGCCTCTGGGACTCCAGTTGAGCCCAAGGAAACCTCAGGAACTCTCCTCCCTCCTTGTATCCATTGTGCAGAGTGTCCAAGGGTCTCAAGCCAGGGGCTGGCAGAGAGATGTGCTCTCTGCTGGTCTCAATAGCTTTGTCACATCCCTTCCCCGGGCACAGTGATCCTATCAGCAGAAGCCCTGGCATTGCGGCGAGCAAGACAGGCCCAGCGACGGGCACAGCAAGCATCGATGCAGCTGAGTAAGGAGCAGAAAGAGCTAGTCCGGACACTCCTGGGGGCCCACGCTCGCCATGTGGGCTCCATGTTTGACCAGTTTGTGCAGTTCAGGGTGAGCATCTATGGGATTCAAGATGAAATAAGACAAAAAGGGTGCCCAAGGAGGCTGGCCTGAGGGAGGGGACTGTGTGCCATGCCCTGATAGAGGACAGGACTTCTCCAGAACCCCAGCCGAGGCAGCCTTCTCAGCCTGGAATCCTTCCAAGATAAAGCTGTTGGGTTAGTCACTTAGTCCTGTCTGACTCTTTGTGACCCCATGGACTGTAGCCCACCAGGCTTCTCTGTCCATGGGATTTCCCAGGCAAGAATATTAGAGTCGGTTGCCATTTCCTCCTTCAGAGAATCTTCCCAACACAGGGATCAAACCTGGGTCTCCCATATTGCAGGCAGTCTTTACTGTTTGAGCCATCAGATAAAACTAGATACCTAGAAGAGACCCCCAGGACTGGGGCCTCTCACTCAGGCTCTGATCTCTGCAGCCACCAGCTCATCTGTTCAGCCATCACCAGCGTTTGCCCAGCCTGGTGCCTGTACTGCCCCTTCTCATGCATTTTGCAGATGTCAACACTTTCATGGTACAGCAAATCATCAAGTTCACCAAGGATCTGCCCCTTTTTCGGTATGTGACTCCTCCCCGTGCCTTTCAGGAAGAAATTGCTCCAGTAAATTATAATACCACTCCATTAAAAAAAACAAAAAACTCACTAACCAAACTAACCCATCCCTCAGCCCTTTCAAGTACCGGATCTTGAATTCTCAGCTTGGCTTTTAAGCATCTCAATAAGAACTGGGGGTTCCTCTCCCTCTCTGAAGTTCAGCCTAAAGTGCAGGTTTTCTGCTTCTTACAGGTCCTTGCCCATGGAGGACCAGATCTCCCTTCTCAAGGGAGCAGCTATAGAAATCTGTCAAATTGCACTTAACACCACTTTCTGTCTCCAAACACAAAACTTCCACTGTGGGCCTCTTTGCTACACCATAGAAGATGCAGCACAAGGTAAGATGGTGCTCGGGCAGTGGAGGGAATGCATTCCTTTGGTAGGGTATGTAGCGAGGTGACCCGCAGGCTCCTAAGCCTAGTATCTCCCACAGCGGGGTTCCAGAAAGAGTTTTTGGAGTTCATCTTTGGCTTCCATAGGACACTGCGCCGACTACAGCTCCGGGAGCCTGAGTATGTGCTCATGGCTGCAGTGGCCCTCTTCTCTCCTGGTGAGCGTCCCCCAAAGCCCAGAAACTTCCATTCTACCACCTCTGCCCAAACTCCCAGCTCCCTCAATCCATCCATCCAGGCATTGTAGTCTTCAAACCTGTGGAGCGGGTCTATCCCAGTCTTGGCTCTCCAAGCCACCCACAACCGCCCATCTTATCCTTCCTGACTCCCTATCTTACAGACCGGCCTGGAATAACCTGCAGGGAGGAGATCGACCAGTTGCAAGAGGAGATGGCGCTGACTCTGCAGAACTATATCCAAGGCCAGCAGCCGCGGCCCCAGCACCGGTATGGTGGGATTGGGCATGGGGAGGCTGGGTGAACTGAACTCAGGATGAGTACTTTCACTGTCCTTTCCTTTGGAACACCAGGGCCCCTGGGGATCTAGTCCTTCCCTCCCGTTTCACAGAGTTTCGGCATTCAAATGGCTCCTACTGCTGTTTCATCTCACTTTTTCCAGATCTTTTTATTCAGCAGAGATGCAAAGTGGTAGCTCACAGGCTCTGTGTAATAGCATTCCTGAGATTGATGACATCTATCACCTCACCAAGCTAACCTCTCCAGACTAAAGCAACCTTATCAAGAGTCTTGTTCACTCTCTCGGCCCTTCCCCTCCTCTCCATTGGTCCAATTCCTTTAATTTTCCATTCCCCTTGAAGTTATGGTCATTCAGTTTCATGGTCAAAGCCAGTCCCTGGTTCCACAGTCCATGAGCTAACCAGGCTCTGGGGCACACACCACTTCTGTGTTGCTTATTCCTGAATGTGCCAGTTTGATCAGAAGAGGGGTGCGTTATCATACCAAAGAACATACCCACCTTCTAGAACCTGCTCTACAAGGCCAGATCCACACAGTTGAAGGTCTGGCCAAGGCAGGGGTTTCTTCTCACTTGGCCCTCTGGCTCAAGAAAAACAGCATGGTGAGAGCAATCAGTGTCACAAAGAGGCCCCCTTGGAACTTGGTGTTCAGACCTAGCTTCACTGAGAGGCAATTCAGGGAGTCAGGGCCTCAGGACAAGACTCTTAGCTGCCTTATTTCTCTCCTCTTTCCCTGGTGACCACAAAGGTTTCTATATGCGAAGCTGCTGGGCCTGTTGGCTGATCTCCGAAGCATTCACGATGCATTTTGGTACCAAATCCAGAACATCCAGGGACTGTCCACCATGATGCCACTGCTCCAGGAGATCTGCAGCTGAGGCCCAATCTACCTCCTTTCCCAGCCCCACCTGGACACGTTGGACTGGAAAGGGGAGAATCCTGGGGCCAGAGATTGCAGACAGTAAACAGGGAGCCCACTGGTTGCAAAGACAGATTAAAGCAGTAACTGCCTCTTCATGCAGTAATAGGGAGAGTGAGGGGTGCTGTGGGGACAAAGTTGTTCTCTGGAAGCACAGAAGATGGGGAAGGAGGAAGCCTCAGGGCTAAGAGGTAAAGAAGCTCCTTCTGGGAATAGGTGGGCCCCACTTTCTGAGGTCAAAGATTTAGCCCTTCAGTCCTTCTTTTCCCAGTTTGGGAAACTCTGGGATGGAACACAGGATGGGGAGTGAATCCCATGCAGATTTTTCTGCTCTGAAGAGAAAGAGGCTAGGAGCTTTAATCCACAGAGAAATAGAGGAGGTGGGAGTGAGGAGAGAAAATTCAGCCAGATACACCCCTTAATTCTCCTCCCCTAGTCCGGAGCCATAGGAGCATGGGAAAATGATACTGGACTGATGGCAGAGGTGGGAGACTCAAACCACTGCCTCAGCAGCTGCCCCTGCGGCAGCTTCAGTTCTGAGGAGGGTGTGGGCCTGTCCCCACTCTGCTCTTGGGACCCAGAGGTCACCCAGCAAGGTGGGCTCTGGAGGGCTCTGGCCCCAGGACACCTGACTCGGAGGCTCCAACTGTTGTGTGGGCTGGCTCTGGGGTGACCTCAGCCCACAGTGATGCTAAAGCCACAGTGGAATCTGTTGCGCCAGTGATTAAGGAAGGCTCCGAGGGCAAGGGTGACAGGCAGGGGGGGCATCTTCTTCTCCAGCACAGCACCCACACACCAGTTACTATCCACCAAGCCTGTTGGGGAAGAGAAATACACACTATGTTATTTAACAGGGCTTGGAGAAAGGGGTCAGCGGATTTAAGGCAGCGCTTCCCTCCCACTGCCTGCCCCAATCCCTCAGCACTTTGGAATATCATCTGAACAGCCCTCACCTCTAAATACCATGTTGGCCTGGGGCAGAGTCAGGTGGTAACCAAAGGAGAAGGTTGTGTCTTGTAGCCTTGTGTTTGCTTCAAACTCCACTCCAACCTGAACCTGAGAACGGTGGGGCAAGGATGGGAGACGGATCTGTCTCAGTGAAGACGAGAGGAGTCCTGACAGAATGAAGGCATGCATGAAATGTATACATAGTGTGGGCAGGAAAAACAGCAGGCCAGCAGGGCCTGTGAGGGTCTGCAGGGACTTGTTGGGGGTAGGGGATGGGGTCAGTAGACTAACCTGTTCATTTGCCCTGTGGTAATAACTTGCATGGGCCCCACCTGATCCCACATTCAACGTAGCTACCCAGTGTACGGCTGTGAAAACCAAAGTACAAGAGAAAAAGACCGTTACTGCAATAGAACACAGGCCAGAACCTCCAGCCAAGTCCAGAATTGCCCTCCCCCTCACTGTTCTTCCTCACCCCATACCCGAGTACTTCCCAGCCAGTGTCAGGATGGCCCCCTCTTCGCCTGGCCGCCGGTGATAAACTAGCTCTCCTCCCAGCACCAGTCGATGAGTGAGGCTCTGCAGGAAGTGAGCGACCATGATCACTGTGGGGGAGTGGGGAGACCCGGAGTCAGTCATAGAGATAGGCCTGCTCTCTCATTCCCAACGGCCCCCGCCGCAGCCTGCCCCCAGAGTTTCTTCTCTAATCCCTGAACTGTACAGACAATGTAGAGGCATAGTCAACATCAGCAGGTGGGTGGCCAAGACCGAAAGAAGCCTGTACCCATTCCTCACCTGATTCCCCAATCAGGTCCGGATTTCCTAGGGTCAGAGTGGCTGTGTAGTCATCTCCCCGATACTCGCCATCAAACTGCCAGGTCAGGAACTTGGCCTGCTGCGTCTAGATAGGGAGAGCAAGAAGTAAAATCTCCCTCTCTCTTTGCAATCACTGCTGCCTCTACTCCTCTCCCTCAGCCACCAGGCAGAACACTTGAGGAGGAGAAAGAGGAAATGCTTCAGTGGATGAAAGCAGGACCCGCGGTCACCTGAAAGACAGCCTTGGCTCGGAGCCGCTCTGCCAAGAGGAGCAGGACCTGGGCGTTGAGGCTGCCACTGCTGTCCATATCTCCCACCACAGTGGGGAACACCTGTTGAAGAGTGTCCAGTCAGTAACACGGAGGGGAGGGGCCCCACTCAGCCTCAATCCAAACGTAGGATTTCTTTAACAGTACGCAGCACCCCCTAGTGGAATCACAAAGACAAACTCTGAACTCATCACACAGACGGGTTTCCCCCCACCTTCTCCCATTCAGAAGAAACACAGAGGACATACCCTGCCCATTCTTCCCCATGACAAACACATTTCCTCCTCCTCTACGCCTGAGTCCCAACTGGGCTTTGGGGGAGATAACCCAGGGGAGTGGAGCCCTCACCTCAGTGGGACTAAGTTGCCAGTCCCCTGCATAGGCCGCATGAAGATGATAGCCGGGCAAACCCAGAGCGCTCATGTGCACAGTGTGAGCCACCTGAGGAAAGAGAAATCAATGCAGGAGACAGCACTCCTGCTCCATTTCAATCCCCCATCCTACCCTTCATCTATTCCCCATCCGGCAGGTCTTTTAAGAAACCCAAACATTCCAACTCATACAGAGGGTCACCGGATTAAAAGCAACAAGTCCCACAGGCAAAGGAAGTCAAAAGGGCCCCATATCCCTCCTCTTTTGTCCCATATAGCCTGGCTAAGGGGGGAGCACAAAACGAAAGGAGAAGATCCAGGGACAGGCAGGGAGGAATAGTAAGGAGGGGCCAGAGAAGTGGGAGCACCTGGAAATGGCTGCTCAGAACCTTGTTGACAACGAGCTTCACTCCCTCCATCTGTGCTGGGAACACATCTGAAGGGAGGGGAGGGGGAAGGGAAGGAATAAGCAGACAAGGAACCCCTACCCCACGAAGTAGTCTCCCCTTTCAATCCCACAGAAGTGCTTTGGAGGAACTGACCTCCTCTCAAGTCCTGCAACAGGAAATGCTCCACTCCATGGGGGTGCCTGATCCTCCGTGAGGCTGCATGCCCCAGCTGTGATCTCCCCTTTTCAGCTCCCGTCACTGGACACCCAGCACTCAAGACCCCGCCCTGCTCTGCCCCTTCAACGTGAGCCGCCCAAATGCCTCGGGTGTCTGCTCACCTTTGCATAGGCGGTGCAGCTCATCAAAGCTCCCAGGGTTGGGGAGAGGCTCCTCTCGACGGGGGCTCCGGCGGGGCAAAGCCCCCATAGGTGCCAGGCCCAGTGTGTTCCCCATTTCAGCAGAGAGGTCAGGGAGGGGCCGGGGTTCGCCTGGGAAAGGACGCTGTTGCTCCCTCTACCCTACACGGGCCCCACTCCCCATTATCCGGCTCCCCAGCCCCAGAAACTTCCACATAGTCCGACGCTAGACCTGGAACGGGAAAAGTAGGGGGGAGGGCACCGGTGGGGGGCTTGAACCCCAGGCACACTCCCATTTCATCTTTAATCCCGCTGTCACCCTCGTAACCTCCCCCACCCTCTAATCCTAGTCTCCACCACAGACTTTACCCAGCTTCCTAGTCCTTCTACTCTTCATCCCTAGGCCCTATGGCGAGGCTTGCAATGAGGCAATAACCCTTACCTTCTCAGACCATCATGCTGCCCCTTTCCCCCAGGCACACCCCGGTCATCTTGATGGGGGCAGCCATCTTGAGTGATGGCACAACTGCGGCTTCACGCTGCAACCCCAGCGTGGTCACGGACGCCATCTTGGAACCGGGCGACAAAAGAGATTTCAGAGACCCAACCCTCCTTGATTGGGCTCCGCCCAATGGATTTTTAAAAAAGAAAAAGAAAAAGAAAAGGCTGCTTGGCTGCCGAGCATTGGCCAATAGAAGAGGAGAACGCAAAAGAGTGGCCGACCTTACGTCCAGAGAGCTCCAACCCCGGCACTGCGGGGACAGGCTGTACTTGATTGGTTAGGTCCTTAGATCTACTGAAATAGATGGCGTTAAATTGCCCTGCCTCTCCAAGGTCGGGGAAAACCTTTTAATGAGCAAGACACTAGAGGGAGCGTCTTGGGGCCTGAGTCACTGAAGTTCCCTCCACTGTGTAGCCTGGAGACATATAGGCTGTGAAAGGTGGCCCAGGGAAGACTGAATACTTCTTTCGAACACTGATTCAGACCTCTCCTAGGGGCCCCGCCCCCACCCAGACCCATGCGAACCCGTGGGGACTGCTCTTCGCAGTCCTTCACAGTACACAGGACACCCTCAAATGGATTCCACTCATAGGTACAGCTCTCCGTAGGAAAAGGGACTCACCCTCCCTCCTGGAGGTCCAAACCTTTTAAAGTTCACCCTCTTGTCCGCTGTGTAGAAGGGGAATGGGTGTGACAGTTTGGGGTAGAGGAGCAGGGACTGCAACCTGAGTTCCAGCAGTAGTCCCTGAAACACCTGACCTCTGAAGTTGATCGTTCCTTCCCTGGTTCCCTAGGAAAGAAAGAAAGTGAAAAGGTTCCCTAGGCAGAGTTGGCAAATAAAATCGAGAAGTATAGGCTCCTGCCCTCAAATGCGCTCCGCTCCAAAGCCAGGGACAAATCAGTGGAGCGCTCTTTCAAGCACTAAGTGCTCCACAGGGGAATAGTTGAAGATAGAATAAAATTTCGTAGGCTCTGGTCGCCTCCCCTGCTAGCTCTCACATCACCACTCCCATCTCTTAGGAAGAGGTCAAAGGATGAAAGATACAAATACTTGTGATATCTATTTAGCTGATTTCACCCAAATGCCTTGGGCCTGGGGAATGCATCTCTGTCCTCCCTCATAATCAGGACAGGGACAAGGGCCAGGGCCTTGGTCGGAGGGATGTTATGGCCCCTGCTGACTCATATTGACTGACCACTGCCTGGAACTGATAAGGGGATCGAATGCCCAGAGACCTTCAACCTTTATCCTGCCAGAGCACTCCAATGATGGGGGTGGGGGGAGGGGGGGGTGAGCAGCAGCTGCTTTCTGAATTTGTTTTATTGGGGGTGGGCTGTGCTTGCTCATCTGCACTCAGGAAGGTCATTCTGGTTCTAGTGTTTTCTCCCCCATCTCATTCATTACACATTAACTCAAAAAAGTACAGAGTCAATCACACCTGGCCTCTGGCCCTGATCCTTATTCTCCTAACCCGTCTTCCCCTCACCCCTGTCCCTGATTTTTTATTTTATCGCCTTTTTTCTGTCTCACGATACCTCTCTGCCACGTTTCAGTGAATGGGGGTAGGGTTGGGAGATGAAATTTACCCATAATGGTACAAAGATACCAAGGGCTGAGGTCATTAGATCTGATACATCAAAGTTTTCCAGGAAAAAAACAGAAGGAAAAAAAAAATAACAACAGAAGGAAACCCTAGAAATCCTGCTTACTGAAGGATTCAGATCCAAGGACTACTGCTCCCAGGCCCCAAAGGAATGAATCTTGAACAGGACTAAAATATATCCCCTTGGCATCCATTAAGGTCCTGCCTCCGACCCCATCACCAGGCATCTCCTGTATGCTGGCCTCTCCTCCCCCCATTTCTCTAACTTGTTTACTCCATCATAGTCCCTGCCCCACTGGACTCCTCCAAAGTCCTTATCACCTGACTGGGTGGAGTGGGGAAGCCTAAAGATATATAGCCCCTGCCTCCTCAGCCAGGCCAGACACAGGCGGCAAGGACGGCATCGCTGACTAGGTACAGTAAAGCAGTAAGAGGCGAGGGTGTCATTCAAAGGTTTAAATGTAGAAAAGGGGGGAACCGGGTCGGGGTGGACGTGTAGGGAGGGGGTCGCTGGGGAAGGGCTGAAGCCCATGCAGCTTCAGTGACCTCCCCTGCCCCCAACTTCACAGGCCACTTTCCCTACCGTTGCCACCATGAAGCTGCTTGCATTGACTGTGCTGCTCCTGACCATCTGTAGCCTTGAAGGTGGGTGTGATCTGAAGAGGGCTCCCCAGGAGGAGAAGGTGCTTAGGTCCTGGCCGCCCCTCTGTCTGTGCTCCTATGCCCGGGTCTGGCAACCAGAGAGCTTAAGAGGAAACTCATCCCCTCTCTAACGCCCAGAAAACCCATCCAAAGACCTGGAGCTGGATACCTGTTCAGGGAGAGGGCTGAGGGCTGAGGCTGAATGCTGGCAGAGATGTGGGACTCATGCTGGGGACCCAATTGAGAGTGTGTGTGTGTGTGTTTCTGTGTGTGTGCAGGCGCTCTGGTTCGGAGACAGGCCGAGGAGCCGGATCTGCAGAGCCTGGTCTCTCAGTACTTCCAGACCGTGGCCAACTATGGCAAGGACCTCGTGGAGAAGGCCAAGGGCTCAGAGCTTCAAACCCAAGCCAAGTAAGTCTCAGCAAAGGGGGCGCAGGGACCAGGGGGCTGTGGAGAGAAAGAGGGAAGTTGGGAGATCCCACAGAACACTGGGCTCAGGGCTGGGGGTCTAGGGAGGATGAGGTCTAAAAATAGAGGAAATTCCATCATCACCCTACAGATCCCTCAGACCTCTTAGGTAGGGGCAGCAGGAACTGGGCTTCGGATTTCTATCTCTATGATCTGTTCCTCTGCCCAGTTGAGAGCTTGCCTCCTCTCCTGGGAGCTTCACCGTTCCAGGACAGACCAGGCACTAGGGTTTGGGGCCTTGGGGCTCACCTCCCACCACAAGAAGGCCAGTACCCGTCCATCACCCTAACTTCTAATCCCTCGCGTTTCCAGGGCCTACTTTGAGAAGACACAGGAGGAACTGACACCCCTGTTCAAGAAGGCTGGGACTGACCTGCTTAACTTCTTGAGCAGTTTTATAGACCCCAAAAAAGAGCCTGCCACCAACTGAGGTGTCCAGACCCTGGTCTCCCATCCCTAGTTTGTTCCCTGGGACACCTACTGGCCAGGCCCGAAACTCCTCTCCCACCCACTCCTTGTTTTCTACAATAAACTTTGCAGGAATTAAGTTGTGAGCCTGGTCTGTTTGGGGAACCAGGAGAAATAAGGGTTGTGGGGGAAGAGTAGGAGGAAGAACAAAGAAATCTGCTTCTAACAGGAAAGGAATTTTGGTGTGAAGGGGTGGAGAAAGGGTTGACGAGACCAGTGATGGAAATGACAGGGGGTGAGGTGCTGGTGACTCTTCTCCAAACCCAAGGAATCTTTTTATAGGCCTGGGAATGGCCTAAAGAGACTTTGCCTTGGACATGGTAACTTGAAAGGCATGTAAGATTCATAATCTGAATCCCTAGACTCCTAGAGGTCACGGGAAATGAGAGCGCCCCTCAGAATTTCCTCTACCACACTATGAAGAGGAAAACACTTCCCCAAATGAGCCCAGAGGTGTCACCCAAGGCCCCTTCCTTCCATCTGAGCCAGGGGACACCATGCTTCTCCCCAGAAAAGAAAAGAAAGTGAAAGTCCCTCGGTCGTGTCCAACTCTTTAATTCTCCAGGCAAGAATACTGGACTGGGTAGCCTTTCCCTTCTCCAGGGGATCTTCCTGACTTAGGGATCAAACCCAGATCTCCTGCACTGCAGACAGATTCTTTACTGTCTAAGCCACCAAGGAAGCTCCTCCCTTACCATTATCTGGGTGCTGTTCATAGAACTGGCCTAAATTCTGGTAGCTATCTTAGAGCCTAAAACTAGCAGATACGACAGCCAGTTCAAGGCCTGACAGTTCTCCAACTTGGTATACATGTAGGACTTGAGAAATTCTGGTAGCTGTGATCCCTGGGTTAAATCAAAATGGAACATAAAACAGGCTGGATTGATGCAGGAGATTTACAATCCCCAAACGGGAAAATGGGCATGTCCAATAAAAGTTTGTTTCCACTTTATCTTCAAAATATTTACTTCTCTACCCTGACTCATCCTTCATATCTCATCTTAAATCACCTTTTCCCAAGACATCAGAAATGGCTCCAATTTCTTCTGTATACTTGTTAAGACTTCTATTTTATATTGGAGTATAGTTGATTAACAATGTTGTATTTCAAGCACATAGCAGGGTAATTCCCTACATAGCAGGGTATACATATTCCATGTATCTGTTCTTTTCCAAATTCTTTTCCCACTTAGGTTATTATAGAGTATTGAACAGAGTTTTCTGTACTGTACAGTAGGTCCTTGATTATCTATTTTAAATATAGCAGTGTGTATATATTCATCCAAAACTCCCAATCTATCCCTGTTCCCCTCTTCTGTATATTAATCAACCTCTTCAGTCTGGCCTTCTAGCCCCTTACCACTCAAAATTCCTTTCTTCCCCTTTCTTTCTCAGTATCTTTTTTTTTTCCCCTGCATGTGGCAAAACATGCAGGGACAGAGATCTGTCCATCACTTGCAAGATGACCTTGGACAGATTAACTTCAAAGAGCCTGAATTTCCTCACAGGGCTAATGAGATCAAATGGTACAAGCTGAAACACAATGAGAAGTGTCAGGCACCATGCAGTGCAAAGTATTCCCCAGCTTGGGGTGGGGGTAGGAGGGGAGACAGCGGTAAGCCTGAGACCTGGGCCCATTTGGACAGAGCTGCTGGATCAGAGGTCGGAGTGACAACGTCAGATGGGACTCAGACACTACCACAGAATCCTGTCTAGAAACAGGACTGGCACGGACAAGGGCCATCCCTTCGCCGCTCACCCACGCGCTCAGAGGAGCTGGCCTCCTACACGGACCTGACTTGTTCCCCTCTGCTTTATTTGCTTGCATGCTCAGCTGTGTCCGATTCTGTTACCCCTTGAACTGGAGCCTTCCAGGCTTCTCTGTCCATGGGATTTTCGGGGCAAGAACACTTGAGTGCGTTGTCATCTCCTCCCCCACGGCATCTTCCTGGGCCAGAGATCAAATCCAGATCCCTGTGTCTCCTGCATTAGCAGGTGGATTCTTTACCACTGTGCCACCTAGGAAGCCCTCCCCTTTGCCTTACCCTCCTCCAACCCCAACCTGGCTCCCTGAGGTGCCTCTTGCCCCAGAATCCACAGAGAACATCTTCCATTAAACCTTCTATTGGGAGTCTCACACAAGCATTTGTCACACCATCCCTTCTGCACATTTGGCTTTCCAGCTCTGCTAATGCCCACATGCATGTGTATTATGAGATGTGCTTACACTGCTCCCTGTAGCCCACTCTGATCTGGATTGGTGACTATCTGGGGTTGGATAGCCAGGCTTGCCTGCAAACCAACCTTGTTCCGTTGTCAGACACAGAGGGCCATGCTGGGTGAGAAAGTCATTTCTTGGGTTTGACTGTTCTGAATGTGCCTAGACTCCCAACACATTACTCCTTGCTCCAGCTCCATGTTAGAGAACCTGGGGGTCAGGAGTTTCTTCCTTTCCCCAGTCACAGTCAGCATTCATCCCTCAATCAAGTAAAACCCTGAAGTCTATTAGACTATGAGCTCTGGCAGGTCAGGAACTGAGTTTGCCTTACTTGAAATGGTATCTTCAGTATCCAGCCTAGGCTAGTAGAGGCTGAATAAATATCTTAAATGATTGAATGAATAGAGTCCAGTCTGTGGTGTCTTTATTGATGTTAGTCCCTTCCCATTGTTTAGTGGGACCTGGGGATGGGGAAGGGGGAAGGGTGGCATAAAGGGGTGAGACTAGAATATAAACATCAATGAAGAGCTTCTGAGGTCTTTGACGAGGAGGAGGAATCACTGGTGATTATTAATGGGGGGCAGAATGTCATCACAAGGGTAGGGTCAACTGGCATTAACGGTGGGGAGGCATGTGTGATGCCAACCACGAGGGCTGGGAGGAGAGTGTTAGAAGGAAGTGACAAAGGGCGTCTGTTCTAAAGCTATTGTGGTGGTTTCTCATGCTTCAGGGTCTCATAAGTCTCCTGGGTCCGGGTGCTCAGGCCCTGGAGATAGAGGTCAAAGGACAGTCAGGAGCTTGAGCCCATCACTGGGCCTCCTAGCCACCCCCACAGGCTCCACCCCTTCCAAAGGTCACTCAAAAGCCCACCCTCTTCTGCTGACTTCCTGGACAGGGGGTAGGGGGTGGGAGGCAGGTTCACTTACCGTGTAAATGCCATCGGATTTCTGTTGAGGCAAAAGGGGCAAAGCATTAGAGACCGACATGTCCTACAGGACCCCTCAACATCTTGCCCTCCCAGGGAGCATTTGGCCAGGAGTGACCAGTTCCCTCAGGCTGGGGCATGAACGCACATCTGCCCACAACACTACAACACACATATATACACAACATTCAGCTCTCTCGTGTACTCGTGGTCACTCTCCACTTGGTTATTCCTCGGTGCCTGCTGAATATTTCCCTTGTGACTTGGCTAGCTGGCAGGGTGGGTAGGATGAGGTGGGAGGGGGGGTCTCTGAAGCTAGACAGATCGGCACCTGAGTCCCATGCCCCCCCCCTCCACAGACCACAGACCCCAAGGCTAAGGCCCCAGAAGGGCTGTGAGCCTGAGCAGCTCCAGGCGCCCCTCTGAGGCTGGGTTCGTACCTCACTGGCCGCAGCTGCCTTTCGCACCTGCAACTGGAGGAGAGGCAGGTCATTAGCAAAGGCGAAGTTCGTCGGCCCAAACCCCCTCCAGACTTCATGGGGGAACTTCCAATCCCCTTTTCCCCGTGCCTCGAAGCCATGCGGCCCCCGGCCTCCCAGCTCTCCTTCCAGCCCTCGGCCCAGCCTGCCCCTGCCTTACCTTGAGTCTGCAGTAGAGGAGGGTGAGGACAATGCCGTAGAGAAACAGGATCGCGTCCAGGATATAGCAGAGCTGAGGCTCCCCCAGGGCCTCTGAAGGGACAGAGGGTGCGCATCAGGCCAGGGGCAGCAGGGAAGATCTGCTGCTCAGAGCAGAGAAGGGAAGGGCGCTGGGAGGTGGGACGGGGCCTGAGGAGCACCCTCCAAGGGAAGAACTTCATCTTCCTCTCCGGATCGCTATTTCTCTTCCCTCTCTGTCTTCTCCCTCACCCTAGGGTAGGGGTAGGACAAGAGTGTGAAGGAGTCTGTTGTGAGGCAACTTATAGTTTCTGAGAGTTGAGAGCCTTCCCCTTTTAGCCCCCAACCAATTTTTTAGCACTTGCGGGTTCCTCAGGCACCACTGAGCACTTCATAGCCCTCAAGGGACCCATTTGTGTTCACTGGGCTGAAAACCTCAGCCCAGAGGGGTAAAGTGAGGGGAGGCAGTGACAAACTTCAGCAAAGAAACCACAGGGGTGTCTTTGCTAAGTCCTGTGACCTGTGGCTGAGGGCTGGACAGGAAGGATGTGAGCTGAGGAAGGGAGGGAAGGCAATCACTCTATTATTGGTCATCTAGCCTCAGCCACATTGCTTTCCCCCCTCACCACCCCCATCCTGAGACACTTAAATATATTTTAAAAAAAAGGTGCCTGCTTTCCTTGGCCTTATGGATACCGATGGCTCTGCACACAAGGTTGACTGAGTGTCTCAGCCCAGGCTCAAGGGAAGGACTGCAAGCTGTATGGATTCCGGCTCCGGGTACTCTGCCCTGTTACTCACTCTGGGCCACTGAGAGAGGAAGTTTTGTGCAATGAAAAAAATCAAATAAAGCCTGAGCTCCAGCCTCTATCAGCTCCGACCCCTATCAGAAGAGCTCGTGAGCATGTGAGATATCAGTTAAGCGCGTTTTGTGCTGTGACGTTTCTTTCACACACAGTATTGCATAAATCTCAAAACTACCCCTTGACGGAAACATCATCGCCATTTTGTAGATGATGAAACCAAGCCCAAGGAAAGTAATTCTTTAGGGCCACAGAGTTGTGACAGATTTTTAATTCAAACCCAGGTTTTCCACTTTTAAAGCTTGCACCCTCTCTTTTATGCCTCAATGGCCCTGCTACCTCATCTCATGGCAGCAGACTAGCCCCTCACTTAGACCTTCCCTCCACCTTCACGACTGGGCTGGTGGAAGTCCATCCCACTCCATCTTTTTTAATTTCCCAACTTCCCTTAAGTTTCACTAACCTCTTCCTCCCCGAACCCCAGCTGTGACTATCCGTCTTCAAAAAACAGACAACTCCAAGAGAGCAAGAAGTGAGAGGTCAGAGAATGATGGAGCCTCAGAACTGCAGAGGCCTTCCTTTTCTGCCTCAGTATTTCTCAGCTGATACTCCCAGCTCTCTAGACCTGAGGATGTGTGCCGCCCGCCCTCACGTCAGCTGTGCCTTACTGAAAACCCCTTAGAAGCAGCAATTGTGTTTAACTACCCTCGCCTCACCCCTAAACACAAGGACAGGCCCCTGCCTTCATAAAGGGGGCTTTATAATTGTTATTTAACCAGCTAGAGATCAGTTCCCAATGGACAAGACCAAATGCACCCCACAGAAAATGCTCATTATGGGAAATGGAAGCTTTCCCCCGGACCAGCTTTTCACATCATAGAACCACTCCTCTGCCAAACTGAAGCCTTATGTGTGTATTAGCCCTGAAAAAGTAAGAAGGGGACAAGAGGGAACAACCCTGTGCTGTGATGGGGACTGGATGGAACCAGCCTCAGGGTCTTTGTGTCCACCTGCCCCATGCTGGCCTCCCTCCGTCTGTTCCCGCCTTGTCCCTCAGATACAGGCCCTTGATTCCCACCCTGGAGCCCAGCTCACCGTCCCTCATCAAACCTCTCACCTGCTTGTTCAACCAAAAGGAGTAAGAGCAGGAACACTGCTGGGATCATCCTGGGCAGGGGCTGAGGGGCCGAGAGCTGGGGATCTGACGCTCCGCGGGCACTGCGCAGCTGTGCTGTGAGCAGCTCCCTGACCACAGAGTTCCCCCCTTCCTGCCACGCCTTCCTCCGAGCTCTGGCCCCTTCCCCTTCCTGCAAGAGAACGAGCAGCTCCCGGAAGGGCCAACCAAGGAAAGGAGCTAGAATGACCAAGCCCCTGTCACCATGGAAAGAGGGGACGCCTGTGCTTGGGAAAGGCTATCTAAAGCCCCCTTCTCACTCCAGCCCTGTTCAGAGACAGAGCAGTGATAAACTGCCCCTCAGGATTCTCTAAGACCCCATGATAACCCTTCTCTCCCATCTGGAACTCTGGACCCCGTCTTGATCTGAGGAGTTTATCAATTAGTGCGGGCAGCAAGGTTTGGGCATGGGGGGAAGTGAGGGGAAAAGAGGAAATGGGGAATGGAGAAGTGGAACAACAGTCAAAACAGGGGGTGGAGATGAACAGGAAAAACTGCCAAGGACTGAGTCTAACAGAGAAGTAGATGGTCAAGTTTCTCTTTAAAGTGAAAGACAGTATGATACTGGGAAAGACAAACCAGAAATTTGGGTGTGGGGCCAGAAGGTGGCTAATTTATTATAATTTCTCCTTTTCTAGTACATGCACAGAAAGCCTGACAGCTAAGCATTCAAGTACATGTATACACACACACACACACGCACAGGCCCATTTCCAATGATGGAGAGGCTCCAGAGAGGGCAGGGAGGTCCAACACTGTTCCCCTTCTCACCGATCTACTTCTCCAAACACAATATCTTGGGTACCTAGGAGGTCAGGGGAAGGAGAAAAAAAAGTGATGTTACCAAGGATCTAGAAGCCATTACAGTGCCTAGGAGACTGAGGATCTGAGTCCACGCCTGTAGTCTGTTGAACAGAAGTGTTCGGCTTCTGTTCCCAATGAGAGTTCCAAAGTCCCTTGACTACAACGCCTCCACCGCACAACAGGCCTTGTACCTATGATCGCAACGACGTCCGCCAACATGTGTCCCTTAGACATCTTGTCCAGACCAGCCTGGAGAGATTAAGACAGCAAGTATTAGGAGAGATAAGAAAGGGGGAGAAGGAATGAAAGTTCATAAAGATCTCAACCAAGGTCACTCATTATTGCATTCACGTATTAAGAGTTAGAATCACTGAGGTTGGTTCTTACCAGGTGAGCAAAACCAGGAGCCTTGATCTTGCATCGATAAGGGCGGCTGCTACCGTCAGATACCAGGTACACGCCAAACTCTCCCTGTCCAAAGAAGGTTGGCTGCCTTCATTAACATGAAGGACATTCTTCTCTGCCAACAAAATCCTTTCTATTCACCCTCATGTCCTCTCTTTCACCTAATTTTAATTGCACACACCTGTCTCCAGTCTCCCACTGCACACACTGTCGCTCCCTTCCCTGTCCCGCCTCACCTTGGGAGCCTCGATGGCCGTGTATGTGGCGCCTGGGGGAACCTGGTAGCCCTCAGTGTACAACTTAAAGTGATGAATCAGTGACTCCATAGATGTCTGCGGAAAGGAATAAGGGAGCATCAACAAGCCAGATCCAAACTGATGGCAGGCCTTTGCACACACACAACATAATCTCTACCCCAGGGAGTCTAAAATCCCCCACGTAAGTCAGTGAGCAGAGAAGATACAGAGAGAGGAGGGCATGGGAGGTTAACAATCTTACACAGTGAATTCTTTGAAAAAGGAAAACTGAAAAGTAGAATTTAATCCAAAGACACTCCTCCCCAGTCACGGCCCCTTGTCGCCCCGCCCCCCTTTTTTCTATCCCTGTAGCCAACTTGGGCAAACTTCGGAAGATGCTGAGGGAAGGGAGGCTGGTGTGCTGCAGCCTGTGGGGTCACAGAGAGCTGGACACAAGTGGGCAACAACCTTCATTTCTGCTCGTTTCGGTGGAGACACTTTGGCATCATCAACCTTGATCTCCCCAGGAGGCATCTTGTTCAGACACTGTGAGATGATTCGGATGGACTGGCGCATCTCCTCCACCCGACACAGGTATCTGAAGGAGATGAGACAGACTAAGAACAGGAGATGAGCAGCCAGAGGACCAGAGGTGAGACTGGGAGAATGCGCTGGGCTGAACTCAACAGTGCAAGGTACTTTCTTCACTCCCCAAGTGTGGCATCCCTGCTTGGCCTGGGCACCTGTGTAAAACTTAAGTCTTCTGATTTGTTTACCGGGCCCTTTCCCAAATCCTCTCCTAGCTTTCTCAGACTATGTCCTGTAGTATTTCCCTCTTTTGCTACTCTCTTGAACATTTTTTGGGAGGTGAGAGTCAAATTGACTCAAAAAGAAAACGGTAGCAAACTTTTCTTGGGGTCAGTAAAGAGCAATGGAATTTGAAGCTTAGAATCTAGTGGAAAGAGCACTGGATCAGGAGGATTCCAGTCTCAAGCACTACTGACAGAACAATCCCAGGCTAATCTCTAACTTTTGTGCTTCAGTTTTTTCAGCTATAAGATGCGGCCAAAACTAGTTCTATCCAAGACATAAGGAGAATGTAAGGGTAAAATAAGATGTCACATGTATGAAAGTGCTTTAAAAAGCAACCTAATACACACAGGTGTTCTGATAGATACTAAAAAGTATGAGAAAAAAGAAAGTAGCTAAGATAAAGGGTAGACAGGGAAAAAACCAGGGGGACAATGAGCTAAGAAAGAATTTGGGCCTTACCTATCATAGCAGTCCCCTCGAGAGCCAATAGGCACATCAAACTCCACCTGGTCGTAAACATCATAGGGCTGGGTCTTCCGCAGGTCCCACTGGATGCCTGAGCCCCGGAGCATCACCCCACTGTAGAGAGTGTAATAGAATCAAGGGTCACTTTCCACAAACCAAGAAAGGAGGCCTGCTCTCTTCCTTAGCATCCCCTCTCCTGCCCGCACACTCTGGGCATGGGAGAAAAAAACCAGCCTGGCAAGGCAGGTGCCACTCCTGAAGCCAAGATATTAATCTGGAACCCACCCGCCCCTAAAGAGAGAAGTCTCAGTCCTCCCACCTAAAACCATAGTTCAGCGCGTCTTCTGCTGTTACCACCCCAATGTCGACGGTCCGATTTCGCCAGATCCTATTGTTGGTCAGCATCTGTCGATCAAGAAAACTGCTGTATGAACACTACTCAAGACACTCCGCAGATACCTCTGTGTTTCTTTACAACTGGGGACTAAAAGCCCACGAACCCTTCTTGGGGGAAAAGGGATTCTTCCCACTGACGCCTATCTTACCTCCTCCAGCTCGTCAATCCGAAGAGAAAAGTTCTTAGAAAACTCATAAATGTCATCCATAAGCCCAAGGGGTAGGTCCTAGAAAACAAGTGGAGGATCAATGCTGAGCATAGAGCTTCTGCAGAGGAGAGCCGGTTCTGCCTCAGAGGCACAGGGCTGGCGCTCCCATCCGTGGTGCTGCCCTCCAGTGGCCACGGAGGGTACATGCAAGCACTGGAGGTTGCGGCAGGCCGGGGAGCCCGCTCACCTGGTGCACACCTCCCGGCCGGACGTAAGCAGCATGCATCCGGGCTCCAGACACTCGCTCGTAGAACTCGAACATCTTGACGGGACACAGTGAGTCAGTGACAAAGTCCTGGGTCCCCAAGTCCAACACCATGGTGGTTCACTGCCCCGCCCCCAGCCTTCGGGGCCCAGCCAACACTTTACAACACAAAGCGCCTTAGAAATATCACCCAGGGGCGTCCCCGGTGGAAAAGTGGCTAAGATTCTGTGCTCCCAAGGCAGGGAGCCTGGGTTCGATCCCTGGTCAGGGAACTAGATCCCACGTGCTACAACTAAGACAAATAAATGCAGTGAAATAAATAAAAATATGTAACAAAAACTTAAATATATACATACATGTTACCCAGATTAAATATACCTTCTCCCCCTAAATGTTCGCGTTCCTTTTATTCTCATATCCTTCATACCTTCTCTATCTCAGGTACCTCCTCCCCTTTTCCCATCCTTTTCCCTCCTCATACCTTCTCCCTTTCTTCAAACATCCAGAAGAAAGGGGTCATAGCCCCAATGTCCAGGGCATGTGTGGTCACAGCCATGATGTGGTTCAAAAGCCGAGTGATTTCCCCAAAGAGCACTGTAGGGAGATGAAGACAAGAAGAGCCGGGCACAGGAGCCGGGGATCCAGGCTGGCAGAGCAGTTCTGGGGTCTGTATGCTAGGCTCTGGTTCAACGCTCCTAAGACAAGGGGCGGAGGCACTACGCTACACTCACAAAGGGCCACAGGAAGAAGGGGACGGGGCATACCTCGGATCCACTGTGCACGAGGAGGAGGCTGGATGTTGAGCAGCTTCTCCACGGCCAGTGAATAGGCCTGTTCATTACACATCATGGATACATAGTCCAGCCGGTCAAAGTATGGAAGGGCCTGGGAAGAGGGAGAAACCTGGGTCACATCTAACAGGCCGAGGACCCCTCAGTCTGGCTGCTAGAAGTGTTGTTCTCAGTGGGCATCAGAGGTCATTGCTACGTGTCTTCCTGATCTCAGGAGTCTGAGAAAGGCTGGATGAAACACACAGAAGGGGTGAGGTGGGGGGGACCCTGATCTGTCGGGTTTGCCCATTTCCACGGTAGAAACACTCCTACAAGGTCCCACTTTAAACTACCAACACTACGTAACTGAACACAGGCAGCACAGGGCAGAGTAAGACCATCACACAGTATTTCCACTACACAGATATCAGAAAAGCAAAAGCCTAGAGAACACGGCACAGAAAAATGCAGTACAGTAACAAAGCCGGGGATTTTCATACTTCTTACCTGGATTTTTAATATCTTAAACTGCAAGCTAGCATCATTTAATTTTTAATGATAGCTGTGTTTAACAACTGACTCACAGAACTGAAAATTTAACACTCTGTTCTTGTGAGCCAGTATGAGCTGGCTGCAGCATACCACTGCCAACCTAGTCTTCTGGGCCAAGAGATACCTCTGTCCAAGAAGAATGTCTATCTGAGACACTGACGGAGAAAGGTAATCTTAGGAAGAAATTAAGGAAGCACAAGAAGGATAGAAAGAGATAGAAAGGATTCATCCACAGTACCAAGAAAGCTAAGTTCCAGCTGTTTGCTTCGGTTTCCAGGAACGAGGCGGAGCTAAGACGCCTCTCTTTGGAACAGCCAGTTCTTGCCCTGACGTCACTGTGATGCGGGATGAAGCTACAGGGGTTAACTCTTTGGACAGTGGGGCCAGAAACCATCACTGCCGGGACACTTTGGGGGAATCACATTCTAGGCAGCTGCTTCTAAATCCTAATCCCATCGCCCTGTTATCAAGAGCTTTCTTCGTGACAGTAAAAAGAAAAACTTCAGATTCCTATCCC